AAGAATGGATTGTATGGAGTTGGCTCATATGGTACACAAAATATTCATCGTAAAGCTTCAGAGTACTATTCTGAAATGGACACTTCATCACCACAATGTAGTAGTGCTGAAATTAATCATTTGAAAGTTGAGGTGGAACATTTGCAAAAAACCGTGGAACAACAGAAGGAATTTCAACAACAAGCGGAACAAAAGCAACAAAAAACGGATGATGTCATCCGTGCCGGATGATGTCATCCGTGCTTTACAAGAGTAGATTGAAACTTTAGCCCGTAATAGATAGAGTTCTTTTAAAGATGATGGTCGATTTTAATAAGTCATTTGATTAGTAGTATTCTTAAAGACATATTCATTATTCGAGACATTACTATTGTTACCAGGAGGTCGGACAGCCCATTCTTTATAGTTTATAAAATTTTGTTATTATTTGAGACATTACTATTGATATTCATCGTTGTTGTGATTTAGTTGTACTGTTGTACGGTTTAAAATTATTATTTAATACAGGCTGCAATGCAACAAAAAATTTGCAACAAAAGCATTGCAACAAAAATTCATTTCATTGCACTTTTGCAATGGAAACTGCAATGCAAAATAAACTTAACTACGGTTAAATCCATTGCAAATTTGCAACGTAACTTGCAATAAGGTATACAACTTGTTGCAAACATTGCAATTGAAATTGCAACTACATTTCCATTGCATTTTTTGCAACGGAAAAAACTCATTGCAATATTAGCTATGGAAAATGCAACAGAATATGATTGTTGCAAACAACATGCAACGGAAATACATGTGTTGCTTTTTTCATTGCATATCATTGCAACGGATTGAGCTTGCGTTGCAAATAATTGCAAGGACGTGAAATGCAACGGAATTTTGTCCATTGCATTTGTTATTGCAAAACACAATTTGCAACGGAAATCGAACATTTTGCAACGGAAATGTGCATTGCAATTTGGCATTTTTCTTGTAGTGCAAAAATGTTTATAATCGATTATAAACTAAAAAATGGAGTTTAGTAACTAATTGTTTCTGACTCCATAATGTAAAACTGCCTTTTCAAGTATTCATTTGTAAATACTCCGTAATGTAAAATCGCCTTTTCAACTATTGATTTTCAAATATTATGTAGTACTACCTCCGTCAGGGCCGGTCCTGGGGCATGGGCAGGAGGGGCATGTGCCCAGGGCCCTTTGCTCCAGTAGGGCCCATAAATTTCTCAAACATATATGTGTGTACATAAATATTTTAATTATATATACATCCTAAATCTATAAAAAAATAAAAAATAAAATCAAAATTATATTTTTAGATACTTCTAATTTGTTATTTACCATCTACACGATACAAGTCTATAATTTAGAAACATCCACATTAGAATTCGTTGGGAACATATTTTACCATTTCTTTTGAATCATTACGGATTATTACATTAAATTTAATCTTTTAATGACTTAGTGCACATGTCTTATGTATATCCAGAATTCATTGATGTATTTCACAAATTTCCTTCAATTCTCTCTTTAGTGAAAGATTGAACTTTAGTGTCCATAATTTAGAAACTTAGAATTTATTTTTGTCTAGTGAATATGTGATTTAAAATATGATAAAGTTACTCCTTATACAAGATATAACTTTCACAACTTTCTTTAATTCAAAAATTTTATTGTGCCTAATATATAGTTGCAATACTTGTTTCACTCGGATGTTAGGTACATTGTATCATCAAATGTCACTTATCAATACCCTCTCTCTCTCTCTATATATATTTTCTAACCATGTCTTTTTTCATTTTTTGATGTGTTATACTAGTACTTTGACGGTAATATTGTATAATTTTAAATTATACTAGTAGATTTTCATAGCAAAAGGACATTATAAACATTCTCGCGCTATCCTTGAGGCCCAGACTATTTGTATTGTCCCGGGCCCATAAAATGTCAGGACCGGGCCTGACCTCCGTCCCAAATTCTTTTGGAAATCCAATATTTTTTGTCAATCGATGTAAAATATGGAGTTGAAACTCCTAATTATGGAGTTCAAAGGGAAGAACTCACCTTACCTAGGTTGAAAGGAAGTGCTAACCGGGCGTCGTGCTTGAAGAGTGAACCACATTGAATTGAAACTCATAGTTACACTCTCTAATACCTATAAATTACCGTGTACATACATTAAATAGGTATTATCATTGTTATGTGAAAATAGAAAGTAAAATCTAAGAGAATGCGTGAATGATTCATTATTTTTGAAAACTTTGACACCCTTTTCCGCCCTTATTCATTTCTTATAAAAAACAAAACTACACTGACATATAATTTTGTTCATTCATAACAATTTGATATTTTAAGCAAATGGTTTGTATAAAAATCGCATTGGACATTTATCTAGCGCAATGCGTATAGAAAAACTAGTTGCCACATATATGCAAATGAGAAGTTTTTCCATTGAATTTAGTAAAGAGGCAATTCCTCAAATGGGACTAAATGGAACTTTAATTGCCAAAATAGGACCATAACTTAAAAATTCCCTAAATAGGACTAACTTTCCCATTCTACCCTTTCTTTGTTTTAATACAATTCATATTTCAATAATAATTAGAATATAAAAGTAATAACATAATTTTATTTATAATAAAAATTGTAAATAAAAATAAGAAATACGAAATATATATTAAATAAAATTAATAAAAATAAAAAAAAAATCAAAAAAAAAATTATAAAATAAAAAACGTAAAAAAATTAAATTAAAATAAACAAATAATGAAAAAAATAATAAAAAAATATGTAGGCCTATTCTGCCTCCTCAGCAACCTCCTAGTACAGTAGTACCTCAATCTTCGATCACCGGAATGCCACTTTGATGGCAGTTTTTGAGAAAATTTTGACATTTTCAAAGAGTAAAAATGTCATCTATATGACATTTTCAAATAAAAAATGGCAGTTTTTCCACAAAATGGCATTTTTTAAACCGAATCGATGTAACTTGGCTGGGCAGTAGCCCGGAGTGTGGGAGAGGTCCCCATATTTTTTTTATTTTTTAAGGTGTTTTATCTATTTTTTTTATTTATTTTTGAAGTTTTTTATTTTTTAATTTTTTTTTTAATTTTTATTATTTTAGTGTTTTTTTAAAAAAAATATGTAGGCTATGTCCATATCAAGATCAATGGAGGCTGTAGGTAGAGTGTTACTGTGTTAGTGATAAATATACTTTTTTCATTAACTGCCACTTTTGTCATTAACTTTTACTTACAATCAAACTAATTAAGAATCACAAACTAATTAATAAACTTTACATTTTCTTCCTACTTTCACTACTCACATCCTATATACCTCGATCATCACATGATTACATGCATTGTGGTACAGATTTTTCTATTTGTCATTTTCTATATTTTTGCTATTTTTCTTTATATCTCGAAATTTTACATTATGTATAATTAACTAGTACGTACTGTACAGATCTCATAAAGAGTAAGTCATTATATTTTATTTATTGTTTAAATTCTTTTTTTTCACTCTCAAAGAAAATACTACCCGATATTTTATTATATTCCCGAGCAATTGTGGACCTGTTTTATGGCTTTTGCATTCCCTCAGAACATCCAATTCAAAAATACCTTTTTATTGTCTTGGGAGACAAAATTTATAGCCAATTAAAGTTCTCCAAGTTTATGTAACTTCAATTCTAACACCATTTTAATATGCGGTGAGTTGTAATAATTTTTCCTTATTTAATTTGTTCTTGAAGTAATCAACCTTGTTCTATTTCAACTTTAGATAAAAATAATTGATTAACTTACATGCATCTTCTGAAATTTTAAGAAGATGCGTGTAAGTATATGAGTCCGTTTGATAACACTATTTTAATTTTCGGATTATAGGCTTATAAACCAGGCAACCTGCTTTTTCACCAAATACGTAATTTTTTATTTCGCCGTTAAATTGTGTAATAATTGGAAAATGTAAGGTACGAGTTACTTTTCTGACTGTATTAGTTGAAGTTATTGTAGAAGATCGTTTTAGAATTTTTTCATATAAGTTTTTATTTATTTTATTAACAACAAATATTTTAAATATAATTTTTTCCCATAAATCAACAGAATCGGCCAATCCAACCAGCTACTTCATCCAGAACTTCATGAAATTCAGCAGAACAAACCGATTCAGTCAATTTCAATGATACCAAACGGGCTCTATAAAGTTAGGATGTTTTTACTTGGACTGTAATTTGCTGGTTTGGTCTGGTCTGGTCTGGTCTAAACTAGTCTGGTCTGGTAATGTCTGGGTTCTTTGTATTTTTATAATTATCCAAGTCTGGTCTGGTCTGATCTGGTCTGGTTTGAACTGGTCTGGTCTGGACTGGTCTGCTCTGGTCTGGGACAAATTACAGTCCAAGTAAAAACATCCTTAGACTTATCTTCTACATGCATGAAGCAACTTATGTAATTAATAATTAGTTTATAATTTGATGAGTAAATCAAAAGTTAATGTATCGGAAAAACAAGGTTACGGTTGATACGGTATTTGGTAGTGAACCAGTGACACGTGCAAACAACAAGGTTTTCCATTGAATTTAGTAAATCAAAGGATTAATAACTAATATCTTCCTCTCCAAGTTTGATCAATTTATCAAATGAAGATTGACATCACTAAAATTTAGAAACAAATCCGCTAACTAGTACCATAAAATCTTTCATAAATGATGCTTTAATATATGTAATAATGTAGAACTAACAAGAACTATACGTACACATCTCTATATAGATCATCAAGTATGTACCAATTGAAGTAAATATGTGTGTGAATTCGTACTTTATATTTTGACAAACTAAGGATCGGTTAAGCGAGATGAGGTAACAACATACGTACGTTACTATGATTTGATGAATACGGAGTAGATGAAATCATGTTATAATCAACACCAAGATTAATAAAGAACAGTCAAGAATTAAATAAAAAAGTTCACCGAATTACATATACTACGGACTTCACCGCCAAATCAAAATGGTTCTCAAGATCAGATAATAATTTGTTACACAAATACTCCGATCCGTAACAAATTAAATGAATGAAATGATGAACTGATGATGTAAGTCATGATAATACAGTAATTTTCATATTATGAGCATGATGAAAAGCTAGGCTTTGGTCCCAGGCCATAATAATAACAACTCTAAAGTTAGAAATAATGACGACGTTATGTGTAGAACCAAATTAAAAATGTAAGGCCGTAGCAGCTAGCTACCACAGCAACTCTTGGATGAGTGAAGCCACATCTTGGTCTTCTTCTGTGAGCGTCGTCGTCCCCTGCTGACTTGAGGAGGAAGGCAAAACAGAGGAATATTCGCCCTCCAACTCTGGGATCATTGATCCCAGAATTGGCGAGGGTTCAAGGCCCCCGGCCAGAACAGAGGACGGCGAAGGACACCCTCCCGCCTGCAGTTGCACCCCTCGGATCACTTCTTCAATGACTTCGTCCGCCAACGCTCCGCCAACGCTGTTCCAAGCACCCTGCTGCTGCGACTCGAAAATCCCATTCGGGTCGCCATACACATACGGCTTTCCCGCCGGAGAGAACACCGCCGCCGCAACTTTAACTCCGGGGAATAGGCGGCACAGCTCCGATGCCTTCTTGAACAGCCCATTTCTCCTCTTCGTGAAACACACATTCCTAGCCGCCAATGACTCGATCGCTTTAATCTCGATCTTTGATTTCCCTCTCCCCATTTTTATTTCTCTCTGCTCTGCTTTTCTATGCATCATAATCCTTCTGCGCGCGGCCGGGGTGATTATTTAAAGACGTACTGCACCGCCTAAGCCCTATTATATTTCCGCTTTTTTATTTTTAAATAAATCAAACGGAGTAGATTTAATTTGGGATGGATTGTTTTTTTAAACAAAAAATATACTTCTCTCACTTTTAAGACAAAAATACCCCTCCATTAACAATCCTCAAACGGGGTTGGGGTGCAAAAACAAGTATATTAAAAAACGGGGTGAAAAGTCCAATTTGGACAATAAAATGGGGTGCAAAGTCAAATTACCCCTAACATGAATTGATACATGATACCACCACCAAAAGGAAAAGATAGAAAAAAAAAAGATAAAAAAGATAAGCTATATATTATGATAAAAAGAGATGAATATACCTAAAAATGATAAAATAAAAAGGATAAAAATAATGTTTATATATATAAGGATAAAAGAATAAAACAATGAGAAAAAAGATGAGGAGATATAACGACATCACTCCTCCACACAAATACCCGCCATCCACTTTGCTCTCTCAAGAAGAAGCATATCACTTCGGACTCCCCTAACCCACGTCTGCTTGGGCCTTCCTCTCCCTCTCTTCCCTGCCTCTTCTCCACACATCTTAACTCGTCTGACAGATGCATCACTTGATCTACGCACATGACCAAACCACCGTAGGCCCGACTCCCACACTTCTCTTCAATAGGTGCTACTCCCACCCTTTGTCTAATTGTCTCACTCCTCACGTGGTCCTTCCTAGTATGCACACATCCAAAGCAGAATGCGCATCTCCGCCACATGGTAGGAAAAGTAATCCAAATTGAAGAGCATAATATGATTATATTTGTACAGAAAGCACATCAATTTATGGTATTGTTTTCAAGAGGAGAACCCACAACTGTACGCAATGCTCTTGGAAGTTAAATGACATATAATACGGAGTAATAGAATATAAAACCATGAAAGAAAAAAGGTACATTATGTTAAATGCGTTTTCTGAGTAACGATGTCATTCATCAGAGTAACTCCTAAGCTGTCAAGCAAAGTACCTATGAAAAACCTTAAACTTTCTGTTTCGAAGTACTCATTGAAATAGTAAAATCAATGTTTAAAATCATATCCAAATATCTCAACAACTTAAAATTTTGCAACAAGATCACGAATTCAATTACTTAATACCTCATTTCAACAAATTGAGTCTTATGATCCAAAAATACTTACAAAAAGGTTCTTATTATATATTTCTCTACTATTGCCATTTATAGAAACTCTTTTTCCTTAGATTATATTTCAATAAACTTTAATTTATAAGTAAATTTTCACGAAGCTAAGTGAGAAGTGGTTTTAATCAACTTGTTCAAACAATCTTGGAAATAAATCTTAGAAGTATGAAATGGTCGTTTATAACTTCAGGTGATTGTAACTGATAAGTTCGTATTACGACACACATTTGATGCGTGTTGGAGTCGGCTTTTGAGGGTTTCCATAGCTTTTAGGTGTCACAAGTCTCAATTTTATCTCAAGTTATGTTTATTGGGCGTTTCTATCATTTGTAATTTGCAATGGAGCCAAAGATTCATTATTTGTTGGCTTGAAAATATGATGGAATAAAGCAAAATGGCTCACTAAACTGTCCGCGCTTCTTTTTTATGAAGCAGCAGTCAATCCATGCAATTTTGGACGCGATTTTAACTATGGGTCATCCGGAAACAGTCTCTCTGTGCTTTAATTAGTACAGGGGTAAGACGGCATACTGATATGCACTAATTAGTAGTGCATAAGTGTATGTTTTTATGTTTGATTTGTGTGGTTTGTTTACCGTTTTATTTAGTTTGTAAACATTTGTGTGATTTTAGTTGTAATTGTATTTTAATCTTCATTTGTAAGTTGTAAAGTAGAGTTAGGAATTAGGGTGTTGAAAAGGAGGACTTTGAAGTGAAGAAAAATAAGATTTGGCTGCCCAGAAGCAAAAACCCGACCGGGTACAATACTTCACCCGGTCGGGCATGACAAAGAATCAGAAACTGCTGAGAAAGTCACTAGACCCGGGCGGGTCACTTATTTGACCCGCTCGGGTTAGATGTGACCCGGAACACCAGAACATGCCGAAGATCGCCAGAACGTGGGAAATATTTGATTTTGACGTTGACCCGGTCGGGTATGTCCTTTTACCCGGGCGGGTCAATGCCCCAGGGTGTTGAAAACACCTATAAATAACCCCATTTTCCTTCACAAATGATCATCCCTTCTTCCGTACTCTTAAGCTTAGTTTAGAATAGTATTTCTTTTATATTTTTATAGCATGTTTAGTCTCCAAATGAGGAGCTAAACTTCCATTTCTTGGTGTTGCTCTTGAAGCTTGTTGATTATTAAAGTTGTGAGTTATTTTCTTAACTTCTTCCCTTGAATATTAATTATTCTCTTAATCTATCTATATATTAATGTTGGGGAGTGTTGCTAAGATGACAATTAGTTAACATCTCGACATTAGTTATAGTAGTATTTATTTTCTTCCTCTATATACTAATGTTGGGGAGTGTTACTAAGATGACAATTAGATAACATCTTGACATTAGTTATAGTAGGATTATTCATATTTAATCTTCTTCCTTGAATATTAATTCTTCCCTTAATCTATCTCCATGTTAATGTTGGGGAGTGTTGCTAAGATGACAATTAGTTAACATCTCAACATTAATTACTACTAGAAACGTTCAACAAGCCGATGGTTAATCGTTGATGGTTTCACAAGTAAGTAACTTCGGTTTATTAATGCACGGTCGTGGTTAATAAACTTAAGAGGGATTAATTTTGTTGGTTAAACCGAAACCGTTGTGTTGAGGTTATCAATCTCAATTGATTTCATCAAGGAGTTAAGAGATTAAATGCTACTATCAAGTCGGTATATGGCGGTGTTCTATACATGACTAATAGTAAGGGTTATTAATGAACGGTCGTTGTTAATAACTACCCTCGATGAATTGGATATACTCCTCGATTGAGTATTCGAGAGGGGATTAGTTATAGATATAACAATGATCGACTAAAATATATCAACAAGTGGAAAGTAGCAATGCCAAGTCCTTTTTATTCTTGAATTTAATCCCATATAACTCGTTCATCTTCGTGTTTAATTTAATTAAATCACTCAACAATCAAAACCCCCCTTTTAATTACTAGTTACATAAAAAGAGAGTTATTCCTTTCCCTGTGGATACGAACTCTACTACGCTATACTACGTATAGTCGTTAGTATTGAATTTATTTTGAGTGCACACCCGACAAAGTGCACGTCAAATTTGGCGCCGTTGCCGGGGAAAGGCAATTAATTTTTCTTTCAGTGTAAAAAAATATATATTACTTAAATATAGAGATTTCTATTTCTTTTCTGAGCTTTGTTTGAGTATATGGTAAGAACCCGATCTATAAACGAAATCATCTACCAAACAAACCCCCAAACGGAACAAGCCTTCGAGAGGTTTAGGAATTTATTTCCAAATACTTCTTCGGAAGAATCATCTAGTGCTAGTTCCCATTCTAGCGATAGCGAAGGGCCAATCACTATGGCTCACGAAACAAGAACATTGAGGGAGCTCACGGCTCCGAATCTTAATCAACAACCCTTATGTATCACTTTTCCAACTCTTGATACGGGGGTCACATTTGAGCTAAAATCTGGGCTCATTCATCTACTTCCCTCTTTCCATGGTCTACGAGGGGAAGATCCGAACAAACACCTGTCGGAGTTCCATATTGTGTGCACAAGCATGTGCCCCAATGGCGTGTCTGAGGAGCAAATAAAGCTGAGAGCTTTTCCATTTTCTCTCAAAGACACCGCCAAGGATTGGCTATTCTATCTTCCTTCGGGAAGTATCACTACATGGGCACAAATGAAGAAGGCTTTCCTCGAAAGGTATTATCCTGCATCTATCTCTTCAAGTCTCAAAAAGCAAATCAGCAACATTGAGCAAGCGGACGATGAGACCTTGTACGAATATTGGGAGCGCTTTAAAAAATTATGCGCTAGTTGCCCATTTCATGGGTATTCGGAACAAGATCTCATTCTCTACTTCTATGATGGGCTTGTTGATCAAGATAGACGCATGGTGAATGCGGCATGCGGAGGGGGTATTGTTAACAAAACCCCTTCTCAAGCAAGGGACCTCATCTCCGAGTTGGCCGAAAACTCAAGACATTGCAATGGGAGGTCATCAACAAAACGAGTTATGGCGGTGGAATCCAACAACTCGTTAGAAAGTCAAGTGAATGGTTTGACAAGTCAAGTAACCGGCTTGACTCCTTTGGTAAAAGATTTTCTTTTGAATCCCAAAACCCAAGAAGTCAAGGTCTGCGGTATATGCTCGACACAAGGGCACCCCACCGACTCCTGCCCAACGTTACAAGAGGAGAACCCCGAGCAAGTCAATGCTTTGGGTTTCCAAGGTCAAAGGAGATACGATCCTCACGGCAACACTTACAATCCTGGATGGAGGGATCATCCAAATTTAAGGTACGGAAATTCTCAACAAGCTCCACAAACAAACCCTCCTCCTCAACAATATAAACAACAAGGCGAAGCATCGAACTCGAATATGTCCACTGAAGACATGATTCGAGCACTTGTCGTTAATATGTCAACAATGCAGCAAAGCGTGGGGCAATTCCAACAAACCATGATGCAATTTCAACATGAAACCAAGTCGAGCATTCAAAATTTGGAAACTCAAGTTAGCCAAATTTCGAATGCCGTAAGTCGTCTTGAAGCAAAAGATTCGGGTAGGCTCCCTTCCCAAACTGAGCAAAATCCAAGACAACATGTCAATGCAATCATGTTGAGGAGCGGTAAAGAATTGGAAGCACGGGAAGTTGAGGAAGAAAAGCAAGAGGTTGATATTGGAGAAGGCTTCCAACCAAAAGAGGAGGAACCAACGAAAACTAAATTCCCTCCACTTTCATCATATGAACCACTCCCTCCATTTCCCGAGGCACTGAAAGACACAAGGAAGCTAGAG